GGACCGATGTCCCCATCCTATCTATACTCTACTACTAGCCTAGACCGACCTAGACCGGACTGGCTGACCGACCGGTACCGTTTCTGTTTCGGCCTCTAGGCCCTCTCCCTACTCGGCTATAGGCTATAGGACCGTCTATCAGCGTAGGCCCATAGGGCCTGTCTGTCCTAGGGGTAGCCCGGGTCCGCTATTTGCAGTTAGGGTAGCTGTAGGAAAATCGAGTTAGTACTGGGCCCATATTTCTATATTTACAGATATGTCCCTCACAAATTTTCCATACAGGCAGGTCTCTCGGTTAGTCCTCAGCCAAACAAAATTACGAATTTGTCCCTAACCATGGTACAGCCTCGTCAGAGCAAGGCTACAGGCAACCTGGAACTAGCAAGTCATTGCAGACCTACCCTCCCCCGGAGCGAGGACCTCCGAGCTAGGGGCGCAGGCGTGCAGAGCGTCGAAGGGGTTCACCCTTCTGTGCAGCCTCATATTTGAGGATAACAGACTTTGTTGTTTTCATAAGCTCCTTGCGAGTAAACCAGCGATCCTCAGTGTGGGGCTGGTAGAGAAACTTCTCAAGGTACTCCTTATCCGGGCGTGTACCATACTCATCCTCTACTTTTTCCAGCTCATATCCCTTCCCAGGGATCGGGGGACCAAATTGAGGAGACCTGTTTGGAAATGCATCAGCTGGGACAAACGGCAACAGCTTGGATGCATGAAAGACAGGGTAGGTTTGTAGATGCAGTGGGACATCCACATGATAAGATGGCCCGAAAGGGTCAGCTCCCACTGTGTCTAAAACATGCCATGGACCCATGTAACGCGGCAACAGCTTGGGTGAGATGTCCTCCTCCCGCGATAACTCAGAACTGAGTACCCTGACCCAATCACCAGCGCGGATGGGGGATGGTCGACGATGCTTGTTAGCCTGCTGGATCATAGCCTTTTGGGCTTTGAGCAGGTTAACTTTGGCTCGTTCGATATCCCTCTGGTACTGCCTGGTGAACTCTGCAGTCCCAGGAGTCAGTTTGGGGGTACCCTTATTGATGATGTCATCGAGAGGTTGTCGTGGCTTACGACCCCAGTGGAGGAGTGTACAGACGTGTTGTACACTAGCTGTGCCCGTCCTAAATGGAGATCCCAGTCCTGTTGATCAGGGTTGATCACAGGACGAAGCAACTGGAAAAGAATCTGGTTCATCACTTCAGCCTGCCCATTGGCTTCAGGATGACGACCAGATGTCATATCCAGTCTGGAATGAAGGTAGTCCTTGCAGTAGGACTGCCATTCATTGCTGAAGAATCGCGGATCTCTATTACTAACAATAGAGGTGGGTGGTCCATGACGAGTTACCCACCTGTCAGCAAAGGCGGCCTGCACGGCCGGGACCCTGGCTTCCT